TTTATCAAAGCTAGAAAAACTTTTAAGCACAATTACGCTAAATATCTAATCTAAATCCCTGTTGGATTTACAAAACAATATTAACACATTGATTTAACATATTAAGTCGAACAGCAGTTTTCTGAACTCTATTGAAAACTGTGTTAAACAGTGCATTCTTTATACAACCATAGTGTTAAATAATGTATTCTCTATAGTCAAACCTTCTTTATATTATAGTCAACACTTCCTTCTGCGACATACATTCGCGTGCCATTCACCCTACATACTAAGTGCCATAAGATAATTATTGCCTTTCATACTTTATGTATAGCTGCATGAAAACCGGTGATCCTATTTATCTTTGTAATTAACGGAATGAAATATAGTCCTATATTTGAGTCCTTTAATTTCCTTAGTATTGACTTAGTAGTGACTCCTTTAATTTCAATATTTCCTCACATAAAATGCAGAATTATTCAGAAAATAGTTATTAGTTCATTAATGTGCTACATTGTCATTGCTACTACACGATCCAAGTTTTAATATACATGCACAATGATTACAGAAGGAAACTTGATAATTACAGTTAAAGACAGAACATCATCGGATCCGGAATGAAAGCGGAACAATAGGAAAGTTCCATGAAAATAGTGAAATTCAAAGAATAGTTGGTCAACGATTAGCAGTTTTAAAATAATAGAAACGTGAGGCACCTATCCTTCTATCTTTATAGAAAAGAGAAGTGAAAAATAAAAAAGGAATTAGCACAGACTTGAGCAGTTGAAATATCCATTTTTAAAGACTGTGATTATCAAAATAATTTTGTTTGACGCAAGAAAGACATTAAAAGCATGAACTTTCAAAATATAAATCCACTGAATAATAAACTGAACCTACTCTCGGGCAATCTGTTACCAGTAACGCCTGATAATTTTTCGATGGCAAATATACGCTATTATGTTAATACTCCAAGTTGTCCATAAGACGGGGATATTTTTCGGGATTGCTGTAGTAACATCGAAGTTAGCTATAAATGACAGCATTATTAACATAATAATTATAGAACTCTTCATTATGTTGACATATCTCCCATAAAAAGATGTAGAATACAAGTGATCCAGATGATGAATGACATTTTGCAAGGGGAAGAGATACAGAACATCGCAAAGTCAGTTCTGAAATCACTAATGATACCGTTTTAAATTACATGGAATGATTATCGGGACATCCACCTTTATTTGGGGCGTAACGCCGTGCATATTGATCTTCGAAAGGAGTACTTTTTACTATGCTGACTTTAATATCCCATTCGCTTTATCAATCGAATCATTTTCTATGTTTTTATATTATCAAGCATTCTGTTAACAACCAGCACCGTAATCGAATTTCTGAAAAGATTTAATCTTGATGTGTATACGATACATCTTGTGTTGTTATTAACTGCGCTGTATCGATATTTGGCGGTAAAATTTGCGATAATATTTCAAAATTCGAAGAACTATCGCGATTGAAATGTCTCTAAGATGAATGAATGGAAAAAGAATTAAGGACATTATGTCGTTATCAGAAGACTATTGGACGATAGGTATCATCGAGATAAGTATTAAATAATTGAAGAATATTTTTTCTATTAAAAATACTTGAATTATAGGCTTCTAAATATATACATAGTAAAAAAAATTTATGACGTTTCATGACAAATTTCATGACGTTTTCCAAATTTTTTACGATCTACTGGATATAAATTTCTTATTAATTTTTCAATATACCGTATTTGAGTCATGTTTGCGTATTTAAATTTATGGCATGGTTTTATTTTTCAGTATATCATTTCTGGTAAAGAGATTATTATCTGTTAACTTCAATCTACTCTTTGTGAGTAGTGTTTTGACATTCTGCTTTATGGGTGTTATGATGTCTAATGTGAGTAACGAGTGTAAACGTAAACATTACGAAAATACTTTTTTTAATTAACTGTTAGTTAATATTAAATATTTATTAACTAGCAATGCATATTATATAACACATTTGTTTATCAATAAAATAATTGAAATTTAATTAAATAAATAAAAGTAAATAGACTGAGAGAATAGATTAAAATGTAAAAGAAAATATTCATATAATTCAA